TACTGGAGGTGCTGCTGGTGCTGGAGGACGTAGAGCTACTGGTGCTGCTGGTGCTGGAGGTGTTGGAGGTGCTGGAGCTGCTGGTCCTGCTGCTGGTGCAGGCGGTACTGGAGGTGCTGCTGGTGCTGGAGGACGTGGAGCTGCTGGAGCTGCTGGTGCTGGAGGTGCTGGAGCTGCTGGTCTTGCTGCTGGTGCTGGAGGTACTGGAGGTGCTGCTGGTGCTGGAGGACGTGGTGCTGCTGGTGCTGGAGGTGCTGGAGGTGCTGGAGCTGCTAGTCCTGCTGCTGGTGCTGGAGGTACTGGAGGTGCTGCTGGTGCTAGAGGACGTGGAGCTGCTGGTGCTGGAGGTGCTGGTCCTGCTGCTGGTGCTGGAGGTACTGGAGGTGCTGCTGGTGCTGGAGGACCTGGAGCTACTGGTGCTGCTGGTGCTGGAGGTACTGGAGGTGCTGATGCTACTGATGCTGGAGGTGCTGCTGGGAGTACTGGTGGAGCTGCTCGTGCTGGAGGTACGGGAGTTGCTGGTGCTCTTCGCCACCTTCTCAGTCTTCCGCCAGGTGCTACTGACTTCCCTGTGGCAGGTACTACTCCTCCGTTACTGTTTCCACCGGCAGGCCAGTCTCAGCCGCCGCTGCTACCGCACTCCCCACTGACTGCTCCTGCTCCTTACACTGCGGTGACACAGTCCCTGTCTGAGCGTCGAGAGCCTGAGACTCGTGCTTCCACCCCTGAGCGTCGAGAGCCTGAGTCTAGCTTTGACATTGAGCCTGAGCCTAGAGCCGCTGTCCGTACTCGTGTTCCTCGTGTTCGTCGTCAGCGTCCCCCGGCTGTCCCAGGCACTCACGATATGACACTCCGTCCTTCCTATGTTCCACAGCGTGTTGTCTTGCCGTCACCTCCTGCGTATTCTCTTCCTGACGTTGCTGACCCTCCGTCTGGCCTTGCTCGTGTGTCCAGTCCGAATGTTACTCGCTTTCTTGCTACGGTTGTGACGGACCCTACGTTCTCGTCTCCTGCTGCGTCTGCCGTAGTCGCTGAGCTAGTTGACTTTGCTGCGGCGTACCGCCTAGACTACCTTGCGATTCTCGTTTCTGACCCTGACCCTGCCTGTCCTCCGTCCGTCGGGGGTGAGCTTGCCCTTGGCTGTGACGTTCTTGAGGACATACAGGAGGAGCTGGAGTGCCTTGCGGCTGCTGCACCTCATCTCGCTACCATGCTGCTTGCCCCTGAGGGAGACCCGGATGCACTTGACATCCCCACCCCGCGCTCTTACAGAGAGGCGATCTCGGGTGCGTACTCCTCTCAGTGGCAGACAGCCATGGACGCAGAGATGGCTTTCTGGAAGTCCATAGGTACTTACGTTGACGAGGTTCCCCCACCTGGGGCGAACATTGTCAGTGGCATGTGGATTTTCAGGGTGAAGCGGCCGCCGGGTTCTCCGCCTGCCTTCAAGGCACGTTACGTCGCTCGAGGCTTCAGTCAGCGTGAGGGGGTCGACTTCTTTCAGACCTTCTCCCCCACCCCAAAGATTACCACTCTTCGGGTGTTGCTACACGTTGCAACTCAGCGTGACTACGAGCTGCACTCCCTCGACTTTTCGACAGCTTTCTTGCAAAGTAGCCTTCACGAGGCCATCTGGCTGTGCCGTCCTGAGGGCTTCACTGGGTCGTTTCCTGAGGGTACCCAGTGGAGCCTACTGCGACCAGTATACAGCCTGCGTCAGGCGCCCCGCGAGTGGCACGACACACTGAGGACGACACTTGCGGATCTTGGGTTTGCTCCTTCGACTGCTGACCCGTCGCTGTTTCTACGCACCGACACTACTCTGCCGGCGTTCTACATCCTCATGTACGTCGACGACTTGGTTTTTGCTACTGGTGACACAGAGGCGCTGGCCCTAGTGAAGGCGGAGCTGCAGGAGAGACACACCTGCACTGACCTAGGTGAGCTGCAGAGCTATCTTGGCTTGCAGAGCACCCGGGACAGAGCACGGCGCACCATCACCCTGACTCAGTCACACATGGTGCACCAAGTCCTTCAGCGCTTCGGCTTCCAGTACTCCTCGCCACAGCCCACTCCTCTGTCTACCGGTCACTCGCTCTCAGCTCCACCTTCGGACGAGTCCGTAGAGCCGAGTGGTCCGTACCCAGAGCTTGTGGGTTGCCTCATGTACTTGATGACGTGCACACGACCTGACCTGACATCGCGTACCCTCTCAGCCTCCTGGCTCGCTACGTGGCACCTGGTAGACACCGAAAGGTGCACTTTGATGCTGCGAAGAGGGTACTGCGTTACTTGTGCAGTACATCGGGCATGGGGCTCGTGCTTGGAGAACGGGGTTCAGTGGTACTCACAGGACACTCTGACGCTTCTTGGGCCGACGACCAGGCGACTCAGCGTTCGTCACAGGGTTACACCTTCAGTCTTGGCTCTGCAACTGTCTCGTGGAGGTCCACTCGTTCTTCTTCTGTGCTTGGTTCCAGCTGTGAGGCCGAGATCTACGCTGGGGCCATGGCTGCACAGGAGCTACGCTGGCTGACCTACCTGCTGACCGACTTGGGGGAGCGGCCTCGTTCTCCTCCAGTTCTGTATGTCGACAACAGGGCAATGCTTGCCTTGTGTCGCGAGCAGAGACTGGAGCACAGAACGAAGCACATTGCTCTTCGCTACTTCCTTGCGCGTGAGCTGCAGCAGCGTGGTCAGCTGCGCCTTGCTTACGTGGCCTCTCGGGCCAACACTGCTGATGTCTTCACCAAGGCCCTTGGGTCTGGTGATCATCAGCGTTTCTGCACTGCTCTTGGGCTTGTGCCCACTCTGCCTCCCCCGCTGGTTGCTTGACTTGCTCTTGTTGTACACTGATGTATATCTTTATACCTGTTTGTTTACTCTTGCTAGGTTGTGATCAGTGTACTGCCTTGCTATTATAATTTTGCATGTGAACTGGCCTTGTGGCCGCTTGCTTGTGCTCAGAATGCGTGGTGATCTTGAGATCCACCCTGAGCTTTGCTTTGCTTTGTTCTCTTGCTTGACTGGTCTTGTGACCGTCCGGTGTGTTTGCTATCCCCCACTTTGCCTATGGGGGTGTGTCAAATTGCATTTGTTATCTCTAGGCTGTAGTGGGGCTTACCCTAAGGGGTACAACACTTTAGGGTTAGGTACTTGTATTCTAAACAACACCACCTGTTAGCCTAGAACACTCTTCCAAGCATACCGCATGGTGAATTCCGACCTGTTACAGGGAGCCTCGGAGGGGGGAGGGATGGAAACATCGGAATGAGGGTTTCTTGCAGCGAGGCCGGTGCAGATGGTGAACCTCAAATGAGCGATCCTCGGTCAATATCTAAAGCACCCACGAGCGAGCACGGGAATGGCCAGCGGGAACGGGTGCCTAGTAAAAAATAAAGTAAGCGGAATTCCACTTGGATAAAGTAAGCGGACGCGGCGCGGACCATCGTTGAACAGACTAATACGCTTTCGAGGTCCCGCATCACGTTGAGTACTAGTAGAGGGATCATCTGCTCTGCCTACTACTGCAGCGACAATGCTCCCTTGGGTTCGTCCCACTTCGATTTCAAATGCGGCGTGAGTCGTGAAGCGAAACGGGACGAATGCTGAACTTTGAAGCCGACGGCCGACGGCCGATGGGAACATTTAAATGCTGCCTGCTAGGCCGTATGAAATCGTGGGTCAGGGTAGCTCAAAAGTCGCCATTTCCGCGCGCCGTGGAAAAGGTCAGGACGGAGTGCTACTGTTCCTAATTTTTGTGAGAACGTTAGAAGGTGCCAGGAAGGTTCGTACCTTGTCTGGATCCTTCTAAAAAAGATGTGGGATGGGCTCAGGATGCAGAGGATGGTTGTGGCAGTAAGGACGCCATTGTCTGAATGCTAATGACGAGTGGAACGGATAGCTGTCAGGCGAATCTCGATCGTACGTCAATTTCTGGAATCACCGTAAGTCGAAGCGTGAGAAAGACACCACTTGTCAGGGACCCAGGCTGTGAGTTTAGGATCATTAGTCTGACAGGATTTGTTAGAAGAATTTGAAACTGGCGTTGCAGTTGAAGTGATCGTCTAAACTGAATGGTCTGATAGTGGTGGTTCATGCGGCGGGGGCACTTCCCAAAATAATGTAGATTGTTAGCACCTCTTATTAGAGGTTTCATTTAAATACAAGGGTAGTAGATAAAGTTTTAAGATTGACCTTCTATTACAATCATTTCAGCCACTTGGAAGTATATTGAAAAGCATACACTGCTCGCTGGAGAGCGCCACCCTGGCCAGCTCTCCTTCTCTTTTGCCACGTAACCAGCCGCGACTTCCTGTACACCCGTGCATGCTGGTGGAAGGCTAGGAGAACTCTCCTCAAAACCCGTCGCGCGCGGAACTTTCGTCCCCAGAACACTGCTTTACACCTTTCCAGCCATAGCTGATGAAGGGTGATGGCGATAAGCGTTGCCTCGGGGAAGGCGGACTTTGTCCCTGCTTTCAGAAGAGCAGATTCACCAGAGAGCACGGATAGGTGCAGCGGGAAGCACCTGATCCTCTCCATCACCTTCATCCGTGACACCAAGATCGTCACGGAGTTCATGGCATTACTCACCATGGAGAAGGCGGACGCGGGTTCTCTTCTGAGCATCCTCTTGTCACGCCTGCAGGCAGTCGGCATCGACCTTCAACTCATTGCGGGCATCAGCACCAATGGTGCCAACGTAATGACGGGCAGCAAGTCGGGCCTCACGACACGCCTCTGCCTGCGCATCCCCCATTTGGTGTCGTCCCACTGCATCGCACACAGGTATATTAAATGTTGAGCTTTCTGCCTTGTGCAGTTTATTTCGATTCCTCTTAGTGCCTGACTGACTACATGTTTCTGTCTTGTTGTGCAGGGAAGCACTTGCGGCTAAAACAGCCGCCGAGAAGATTCCCGCCTTCAACGTGATTGATACGGTGATCCGTACCGTGTCAGAGCATCTCGGCCGGTCAGGGCCTTGGCACCAGCGCTTCATGGGCCTCCAGGAACTTTTCACCTCCACAAGCCTTGAACTGCAAGGCATTCATGCCGTCCGCTGGCTCTCGAGGGGCGACGCAGTGCTCAGGCTTGTCGCCGTGCTTCCAGCTCTCATCGTGATGCTGAAGGAGTGGGACGCGAAGTTGTATGCGCTCGTGACAAGCTACAGGTTTCATTTCCTCTTGTTTTTTATTGCTGATGTGGTTGAGCAGTTGAACATCCTCAACAAGGCGTTCCAGCACAAGGAGGTGAGATGTGATACGGTGTTTTATAGCATTGATGTTGAATACCTCTCCCGCAAGCTTCCCTTCTGTCACTAACTACCATCTCTTTTTCTGGTGTCCAGCTTGACTATGCCAGCGTGCATGCGCAGATAAAGCGCGCAACTTCCCCTATCGAGAGCCGCTACGTCGATTGCGGCGACGACTTCAGTGGCGGCGTCAGCAAGCTGCTATCCCCCTTCATCTCGCGCCACGGGCCAGGAGGAAACCGGGAGATGACTGTGGAGGGTGTTGACTCGGACGGCCGACCTACACGCTTCACATTCAGGCTGCATGAGGACGAGCTGGAGGAGCTCGATGGGCCGGGGACCCACGATGGCTGTGTGGACGTCTGCACGGAGTTTGCCGAGCTGATCGTCCACAATCTGTTGCATCGGCTTGGCGATTTGGAGGGGGATATCTGGAGCAAAGCTCTTCACCCCCGATGAGTGGCCGCTGGAACGAGGAGAGAGGAACGCCAGGTGCCTCGAATGGCTCGAGTCGCTGAACACTTTGTTCAAGGCCGACCTCACGGAGAAGATCCTGCCAGGTAAACCCAATATCCCAAGCCTTGTATGTGTATGGTTTCTACATGCTGCTTCATCCTTGATCTGCTTGTATGTGTTGTCGGCGCTTCAGTGTTCCAGACAGACCCGGATAAGAATCACTTAGCGTTCTTACAATTCACCAGGTTTTTGAAAACTATGTCACCTGCTTCTGATATTTTTTTCACTAATTGTCATTCCTTTGTTATATGTTTCCTCCCCCTCCAGGCATCAACAAGCGCCGTGCGGTGAAGGAGCTCCGCATGCTCACCTCAGTGCTTGCAGGATCCAACAGGAACGAGCACAGCTTCCACGCGGGTCTCACTGCCATGCTCAAGACACCAGACTGGCGGGGCAACTACCCCAACCTGGTGCATTTGTGGGTGGCCCTAGCTGTTCTGCCGTTGAGCACCATGGAGTGCGAGCGTAGGTTCTCCAGGCAAAACATTATCAAGTCGTGGCAGAGAGGCTCGTTGAAGGATGCACGCCTTGGAGACCTCAAGTGCATGAGTCTCATGGATTACGAGCCCAACTAGGAGGAGATTCTAACCATCTGGAGGAGCTACAAGAAACTAAGCCCCACAGCAACGCTCCACTCCCTGCATGATGTTAGAAACTTAGGCAATTGGATTGACTATCGAGAGTGTTGGTACAAAAGAGAAACCCTAAGGGGTTATACCCCACAGTATCTACCCCACTACAGCCTACCCAGAAATGTAACATATGCATATGTTTGACACACCCCATAGGCAAATTGGGGGAGAGCAAGAGGTCACAAGACCAGTCGAGAAAAGCAAAGCAAGCTCAGGGTGGATCACAACGTCACCACACACACTGAGCACAAGCAAAAGGCCACAACGCCACTTCACATGCTGAGGTATATATGCAACAAGAACAGTACAGTGATCTCTACCTAGCAAGAGCAAGCATGCAGGTATATATATATATATATCACAGTACAAGCAGAGTCTACAGCAAGTGCGGAAACGTAGGCACAAGGCCCAACAAGGTACAAAAGCGCTGATGATCACCAGACGGAAGTGCCTTGGTGAATATATCAGTAGTGTTGGCCAGAGTGGCCACGTGAGCAAGACGAAGCTGACCCCGCTGCTGCAACTCTCGAGCCAGGAAGTAACGCAGAGCGATGTGCTTCGTTCTGTGCTCCAGTCTGTGCTCCTGACACAAGGCAATGGCTGCCTTGTTGTCGACGTACAGAACTGGAGGAGAACGAGGCCTCTCTCCCAAGTCGGTCAGCAGGTAGGTGAGCCAGCGTAACTCCTGTGCAGCCATGGCTGTGGCGTAGATCTCAGCCTCACAACTGGAGCCGAGAACACAAGACGAGCGCGTAGACCGCCAAGAAACAGAGCCAGAGCCAAGACTGAAGGTGTAACCCTGTGACGACCGCTGCGTAGCCTGGTCGTCAACCCAAGAAGCGTCCGAGTGACCAGTGAGGACAACGTCGCCCCGTCTTCCAAGCACGAGCCCCATGCCCGATGTACTGCACAAGTAGCGCAGTACCCTCTTAGCAGCATCCATGTGCACCTTTCGGTGCCGACCAGGAGCCACGTAGCGAGCCAGAAGGCCAAGAGGGTACGCGAGGTCAGGACGAGTGCAGGTCATCAGGTACATGAGGCAGCCAACTAGCTCTGGGTAAGGACCACTCGGCTCTACGGACTCGTCCGAAGGTGGAGCTGAGAGCGAGTGACCTGTAGCCAGAGGAGTGGCCTGTGCCGAGGACCAGGTGAAGCCGAAGCGCTGAAGGACCTGCTGCACCATGTGTGACTGAGTCAGTGTGATGGTGCGGCGTGCTCTGTCCCGGGTGATCTGCAAGCCAAGGTAACTGCGCAGCTCACCCAGGTCTGTGCACGTGTGTCTCTTCTGCAGCTCCGACTTCACCAGGGCGAGAGCCTCCGTGTCAGCAGTGGCAAAGACCAAGTCGTCGACGTACACGAGGATGTAGAACGGCGGCAGCAAAGTGTCGGTGCGCAGAAACAGCGACGGGTCAGCAGTCGAAGGAGCAAACCCAAGAGCCGCAAGTGTCATCCTCAGTGTGTCGTACCACTCACGTGGCGCCTGGCGGAGACCGTAGACCGGCCGCCGGAGGCTCCACTGGGTACCAGAAGGGAACGACCCAGTGAAGCCAGGTGGGCGGCGCAGCCAGATCTCCTCGTGCATGCTGCCCTGTAAGAAAGCTGTGCTGAAGTCAAGGGAGTGAAGCTCGTAGTCACGCTGAGCGGCAACGTGCAGCAACACCCGAAGAGTGGTCATCTTCGGGGTGGGGGAGAAAGTCTGGAAGAAGTCAACTCCCTCCCGCTGACTGAAGCCTCGAGCAACGTAACGAGCCTTGAAGACAGGCGAAGAACCTGGCGGCCGCTTCACCCTGAAAATCCACATGCCGTCGACGATGTTCGCCCCAGGAGGGGGAACCTCGTCGACGTAGGTGCCTGTGGACTTCCAGGAAGCCATCTCTGCGTCCATGGCTGTCTGCCACTGAGAAGAGTACTCACCCGCAATCGCCTCAGCGTAAGAGCGCGGGGTCGGGATGTCTGGTGCATCCGGGTCTCCCTCAGGGGCAAGCAGCATGGCCACGAGATGAGGTGCAGCGGCCGCAAGACACTCAAGGTCCTCCTGTATGTCCTCAAGGACGTCCGTGCCAAGAGCACACTCACCCCCGACGGACGGAGGACAGACAGACTCAGACTCAGCAACAAGACTAGCAGCGTAGTCTAGACGACAGGCAGCAGCAAAGTCAACCAGCTCAGCGACAAAGGCAGACGCAGCAGCAGACTCAAACGACGGGTCAGTGACAACAGTGGCTAGTAGACGCGTGACAGTAGGGTGCTCAGCACGAAACCGGTGAGACTCAGGGTCCGGAACAACAGGCAGAGAAGACGCAGGAGGAGACGGCAGAGGAACATGCTGCGGAGGAGAGGAAGGACGACGGACTACGAGGTGGGTGTCGGGGACAGCCGACTGACGCGGACGAGGAACACGACGACCAGAACGGACAGGCGAGACAGGACGCGACGCAGGCACTCGACGCTCAGTAAGACCCCCTGTCTGCTCAGTGTAAGGAGAAGGAGCAGGCAGCGGTAAGCCAGGCTGTAACAGAAGACCAGTAGACGAAGGGAGACTAAGAACCTGGCGAAGCACAGAGTCAGGCGGTGGCTGAGACGACGGAGACGGTGGAGCAAAGAACAGGCGTGGCTGTGCAGCAACACCAGCACCAGCAGCTCCAGTACCCCCAGCAGCTCCAGCACCTCCAGCAGCCCCAGAACCCTCAGCGTCAGCTCCTCCAGGACCAGCTCCACCAACAGCAGCACCCCCAGAACCGGCACCTCCAGTCCTAGGGTCTCCAGCCTCAGTGTCTCCAGTAGCAGCACCCCCAGACCCAGGGTCTCCAGCAGTAGCACCCTCAGGCTCAGCAGCACCTCCAGCCCCAGCAGCTCCAGTACCTCAAGTACGAGCACCTCCGGGACCAGTACCACTCCCAGCTCCAGTGACGTCAGCAGAAGTACCTCCAGCAGCAGAGCCCCGAGCTCCAGAAGCTCAACCCTGACGGCGACCGTACCAGTCGTGCAGCTGCTGTGAGGTGAGAGGCACACGCGGACGAAGGCGGCTACTCCAAGGAGACCGCGCAGCAGCAGACTCCGAACCCTCAGGTGTCGCACCCCCAGACTCAGTACCACCAGGCTCCTCACGCTCGGGCTCAGCACCTCCAGACACAGCACCCCCAGGCTCAGGACCTCCAGGCTCCTCACGCGCAGGCGCAGCACCTCCAGACTCCGCACCCCCCGGCTCAGCACCTCCTGGGTCCTCACACGCAGGCTCCGCACCCCCAGGCTCAGTACCCCCAAGCTCCGCACCCCCAGGCTCAGCACCCCCACGCTCCGCACCCCCAGGCCCAGCACCCCCAAAGACAGCACCAGCAGGACCTGAGTCACCAGTGACCTCAACAGGCGCAGGCACGGGAGGGTCTACCTGAGAAACACCTGAAGGAGCGGGACCTGGCGCGGGGAGGGGGTCTACCTGGGGAGGACCTGGGGCGAGAAAGAGCGGCGGGGGGGGGCGAGGGGCAGTGCGGTAGGGAAAGAGACGGTAAAAGGGGACGGACTCGTCAAAGGTGACGTCCTGAGACGGAAAGACACGGCGCGAGGCTGGGTCGTAAAACTGCCAGCCAGGCGCGTGAGGGACAAAGCCAAGGAAGACGCAGGGAATGGCGCGAGCGGAGAGCTTGTCCGCGGTGGTATCGCGGACAAAGGCACGAGCACCCCAGACCCGGAAACGCGACGCATCGCCAACCTTTCCCGTCCACAGCAGCGTGGGCGAAGTCTCCGGCAAGGAGACACGGGGCCAGAGGTTGAGCTGATGCGCGGCGTACCGGACCGCAAACGGCCACAGAAAATGGGGGGCAGCCGCATGGATCATGGAGGTACGAGCGACCTCCATGACTAAGCCAATGCGGCGCTCAGCAACCCCTTTCTGCTGCGGAGAGGCCGGAAGCGTGAACGTCTGGCGGATGCCGTGCTCCGCACAGAAGGCTACCAAGAGGTCTGAGGAGAACTCACCACCCCTGTCAGAGTGCAGACGCAGGACAGGAAAGTTCGAGTGGAACCGCTCGCGGAGCTGGAGACGAACAGCGCGGATCCAGGGGATCGAAACATCAGGGACCTCCCCCTTGCTGCGCAAGGGGAAGACCGTGGTGTAACGCGTGTAGTCGTCGACGACCAGCAGGAAGTACCGCTCGTGGCCCTGTCCACGGACGCGGGCTGGGCCCCACACGTCCAGGTGGAGAGTCTGCAGGGGAGCCTCTGTGGGAGGGAACGAGGAGGAGTGAGGAGCGGCGCGCTGCCGCCCCTCGACGCAAGGAATGCAGGGCGGCGCAGGCGAGGGAGGGAGGGCAG